GAAATTTCAGCCTTCCAGCTTCTCTGGTTGTTGAAATGAAAGTGGGTGATAAAGTGCACTCGTTTCGGCACACACACACGTACACTCACACACACACATACACAGACAGCCTCTCGACAATATGCGTTTTAGCCTATACGCAATTTGCAAAAACGCATGTAGCGACGACCCTGTCAGTGTGTATGTGTGTGTATGTTTTTGTGTGTGTGTGTGTGTGTGTATGTTCGTCTGTCCAGGTACTTCAACTCGACAACCAAGCAAGTTCCAGCCCCAAGATTTTGTTAGTAGATTCCCCGGTCAAGTGCCACCCCAGAACAGCGGTACCAACTCCAGCTCAAATCTGGGCCCCACGTATGAGGGGGTGAAAGTTTTGGTGGGAAAACTGATAAATCGGGAACGAGAAAAGATAGAAAGCTGAAATTCTGAGGTTATGTTCCTCGTCCACATATAACTCAAACGTTTCAAATTCAGCCCCAAGCTATGCATGGTACTCAAGTAAGGGCGTATGAAATTTTTTGCAGGGAAATTACTAACTCGGCAACCAGAAGAGCTGGAAGACTGAAATTTCAAGTGGATTTTCCCTGTCCACACGCAATTTAAAAATTCCAAACTTAGCTTTCTAGGCAAATGGAGTAGGCAAGAACGGGCATGTGAAGGTTTAGGCGAGAAAATTGCTAACTCGCTAACCAGAAAAGCTGGAAAGCTGAAATTTTGAGGGAACGTTCCCTGCCCAAGTAGAGTTTAAGTACTTCAAATTCAGTCTTGAGGTATGCGTGGTTCTTACGTATAGGCACTTAAAAGTCGAGGAAAAATTTTTCACTGAACAGCTAGGTTTCTTTTAAGGAACGACTGTTAAATGGAAATTGTACATTTACTTTGCAACATTTGTGGTGATTTATGCTAGCGACTGCAAAATGTAGGTGTAAAGCACCAGCCGTTCATACAATTAGTGACCTGAGTAATTCAAGTCTAGTACAAAAACACAAGATCGCACAGGCTCGCTCGGTGCTTTCCAGCTTGGGTTCTTTATGCATGATTTAAAGTGATTTATGGCGATGAACACACAAATTATATGTAAAACAACAATCCAGCTTACAAACTAGTTGCTTCAAGTTTAGCGCAAAAGCGCATGACAGCACCGGCAAGCTTGGTGCTTTGCGGCCTGAATCTTTTATAGGCAATGCTATGGAGAATAAGCCGATTGATGGAACGAGCGATCTGTTTTGCTATGATTTCGATCAGAGCTGTCGATGGCGAAATCTGGATAGTTTGCTAATTGATGAGCTAGACTGGTTTCGTGGCACTGGATATCTGGACAGCAATCGACTCAAGGTGAAATACCGTCGATCTTATAGACAATTCACGTAGGTCGTCAAAAAACAAAATAAGGCATTGTTTGACTGTTTACGTAGTGCACTGCATTATTGACCGAACTTTGTGCACCAAAGCTCTAAAGGCCCATATATTAATCAGTTCGTAGTGCGATTCCTCAACTACGCAGGTGGCAACTTTTCGGTTGCTTTGATCAGTGCTGCATTTTAAATGATTCTGATTTGTCCGCTTTTCATAAAAATGTGAATCAGTGGGGCTGATTTAAACCAGTCTTATTTGGCTTTAGAAATACGCTATTCAGACGAAGGGCATGGTTTAGCTGCGCGTGATCAAGCACATCATGAGACAACTGGAAGATTGCTAAATGCAGGTTCCCCCTTCCGGTGATTTTCCTTCAGGAGGTGAAACGAACGTCAAGAAATGCCAGAAGATTGACCACCAAGCGATGCGGCATTGGTTAAAGCAGTCCGGAAAATTGCCGGATGTACAGTTTGACAAAAGATGCTGTGAAATGCAGCTGATTAAGGCACCAAAATAAATTCGTAAATCATGAAAAAAGGCGTACAGGTCGCAACGGGTTCGCATACAACGCCGGACGGTGCTTACGGAATAGTTGCAACGGATCGAGTGCAGCTAGCCGGTGCTAAAGCAACACTTGTCAGTGATGTGATAACCTGTCAGTTGGGACCAGGCGAACTTCGATTTATGTAAGTTTTCAAGGAAATTTGTTGCACGTCTTTTAGTGCTTTGTCTGCCGAAATTTACGCGCTCCTTCATGCAAAGTTCGGTCTGTGTTTAAAGCTAAGGGTTGAAAACAGACAGGCTGCATCGTAAAATATCTTCTTACACGTGACACTTAAGTCCAATCCCTCTATTTTACTATTTCTCTTATCCACTAATATGCTTGTGCCACTGGCCAGTAACTCATCTGGGATTTTTCTTTAGGAAGGAATTTTAATATGCAATAGAAATGGTATTAGTTTTGTTGAATTTTTGTCCACATTTCAAAACTGCCGGGAGGGCATGGCGCATATCAAGCAGAAGGTCGGAGATTCGATTTCGTCGGTGAGACGACCAGTTCTTCTACGATTCGTTCATTCGTTTTAAACTGGTAGTGGCATATGTCAAAGTGTCAAAGCTACTATCAGCTTGTTTGCAAGCGATTCTCAAAAGGGAAATCCACCGACAGCTTTGACAGTGGATGATTGCTGATGAAGTTTGTTAAAATTCGGTTTACATTACCATCCTTTGTTTTTACTTCAAAATTATTACATTTTCTTGGTTTGGAACATTATTTCTTTTGTCTTTCTTAATATCACGTCAATGATATTATATCCGTCTGCTGGCCTGGCAGCATTGTATTTTTTAGGTACTGGATAAGTCCGGAAGTGCGGCTAACTGTGTGCTTGAAACGTACCAGTCGACCGTATCCTAGTTTTGACCTCTGCACGACTCCGATACGTGGAGGTAGCCCGGGTCCCGCACATATCAACATCGCTGACCTTGAAAGACAGCCTTTTCAAGTATCTTATTCGCCTTATTTCAAAGAATTTTTTTACTTATGCTCTTTTTTTGCTGATTAGAACCGTTTTTTTTAGCATATTTAATCCACAGCATTAAGGTCAGGGACAATTACATCTACTCTGAGTTAAGCAACGGGTGCTTGGCCTCATCAGTCAGTCTGACTCTCAGCTACGTAACTGATAACTTTCCTGTTGTTTCGACCAACCAGTGCTGCATTATCTGGTAGTCAATCTGCTGGCAGTCATGGCATTCGTTTTCTTACTCTGAAGAGATTATCATCTCAACAGTTCCCGAAGCAGACCCATTTTCGTGAGACATTAGGCGTTTCGAGATATCCTTGCTTATGTTGAATATCATTACCTTGTTGCGAAGATTACCATTCTTAAACGGCGACTTGGTGCGTTATCAATTAGAAAAGTGAGGTCGAACACCTGGGACAGTTGTTGATTTATTTTCGAGCAACTAGATTAAACAAGCGAGAAAACAGAAGAGGAAAAATCACGAGTAATTAAGTATTGAAGTAGTCATAAGAAGTTTGAAGTGAATAAAAATAAAGGAAAAGAAAAGCGCATACAGAAATAATAATATAAATATAGAGAGGAAGATACAGAAACAAATAAATAAATATATTTATAAATGTGGTGGAGAACTGCTGAAACAAATAATATTGTTGAATTTTTGCAGATTTTCATCCAAGCGGACAATTTTGTGTTCCGATCAGCCAATCTCGAAGGCGGTTTCGCGATCATTGATAATATTGAATATTACGGCGATCTATGCTCTGATGCAGCAATGCTTCCGAGTGTTCAGTTTTATCAGATATCATTGATAATTCTCCCCTACAAAATGAGGCATCCTTCAAGACTGGGACTTTTAATCAAAATGATGTTTCATAGCCAAAATGCCGGTATCGATTATTTTGTGGGGAAAGGAAAATGCGGTCGGAGGAGTGATTTGGAGAGGGGCGAGGAGGGCGGGGGGTACAAAAAATACATTTTATCATTAATAATGGTACTAACTTCATTTTCAGCCACGATATGAAGATTTTGTTGAAACAGAAAGTTTTGCATCTATTTGTTATCATTTGGTTACAAAATTTTTTTCAAAAATTCCAAGATTGCCAGGGCAATCGGTTTGGGAATTTTACTGCTCCCAAACACCAGGAGCATTTGTGCCAAAGTTGCATATTTCTAAACTCAGCGCCTGCTCGTCGCCTTTGTGAACGTTGTCAAAATAGTCGTTTACTTTCTTGCGGGTACCACTAGCCTGAGGAGTTGTAGACAAGCAAACAATAGGCCCTACCCACCGGATCTTACTTCTTGACATGGTCACTACGACATCCAGTTGCTTAAAGTGGCCATTCAAAAGCACACCACACATCCTTTGCTCCATTGCTTCCATTATCACAGCAAGCGCTTGCTCTTCAACTTTCATCAGTGACTAAGTTTCTTGTCCGCATGTCACTGCTTTTAATTTGGAGGCCAATAAGCATACGTACAATCCTTCTTTACATTGCTCGGGAAACCATTTTACTTATTTTTAGTAAAAGTTCGGTAAATTTTCATTTTTTTTTAGCCTGAAATTATCTTTGCGCGATCGGTGGATAATGGCAAACGAGAGGGAGTACTTATACAACGGGATGAGAATCCTGGCGCCACTTCTTCGACAGCAAAGTCGGCCTGTGATGTGTTACAGTGTACATTCAATGAGAGCAGCAGTTGCTCCATGGATCTGACAAATTCAATGTGGACAATTGCACATGGTGATACCAAGAATACTGGGATACTTGGCGACGCTTCCAGCTTACCGTACAATCCAGGTATCTCCCCCACTCGCCCGGCCCCTCCCTGCGCCTTAACTCAGCGATCCTTTGAGGATCCCAGATTTCACTTGTTGTAACATCCTGCTCAGAACTGAAACTTTTTTAACTTTTCAGAAGGATCCTTCGCATATATTGCTGGTCCAGTTGCAATTGCTCGCCTGCAAACCTCGTCATTTCAAGCGACTGATGACTTCAATTTCGTTTTCGCATATCATAAAGCCTCAAATAGTAGTTCGAAATTTCGGGTGTTTGCCAAAATTCAGAATCAGCCCCAGGAAACGATCATTTTTACGGTATTTTTTGAAAAAAAATTTTTTTGAGAACGCTTTTATGCTGTATTTTTCTTATTGAGCATTTTTCCATGACTTAGGAAATCCAAAAATGTATATTGAAGAGGAGTTATCAGTGGGTTTCTATAATCGTATTTCGTTACTCACTTTTAGTAGAGCAGCCAGAGAAGCTAGGAAGTTGAAATTTTACAAGAATATTTTCGGTCCACGTATGACTTCACAATTTTAATTTAAGATAATGCTTGATATTTTGATCTTTATTTTAAAAAATGATTCAAAGTATATCGTTACCATTTTTCATAAGTTTTCAGGCTCCACCATTGAAAAAACAAACAAATCGTTGGTATCGTGAAATGATTCCTCTACAGGCCGGTTCTTATGATTACGTGAGTTGTTTGTTGCATGGTTTGGTGAAAATGAGTGCTACTATTTCTTCCTGGTCCATATTGTTTGCAAAAAGGGGCCCTGTTCGAAACAACGTACCGAAAGCCAGTGGTCTAGCTACAATCCTTGACAGTTGCTGGATGCATAGATACACTTGATTTGGTACAACAGTCGATCTTGCAGCAACATATTTCGTTGTTAACAGATCCTTTTTTCCAGGACATCGGGTTATCGGTCTGGAATTTCTTGACGTTACTGAGATGCAGTCGTACATTTAATATGGTGATAGGACCTAGCTATCATTAGTCAAATAGCGAAATCCATGTGTGCTATTTCTTAAGGGATTACTGAAATTCCGCATATTGTAGATATGCACTAAACTCTGACACTTTTGAATTTGCAGATAGCTGTCGAAGTCAAAGACTTAAGTGACGGTGAATATATTGGAATTGACGAATTTATGGTACTTGATTCGAAGAAAAGGCCAGCTTGCTTATCATAGGTTCATCCAGTCTTACACATACCATTTTACTGCCTCCCTTTTTTTGAGAAATGTGATAAGAGAGAATCAATGTGAACTTAATCTATCGTGCCTTCGCCACTTAGGCCTCCAAGGTCAATCTGGTTGTTACAATCCGCAGAGGGGCGGAGGGGGAGTTAGGTCCTCTATTTTGCATCTTTCAAGGATTTTTAGGTAAAGGAAAAGAATGCAAGGAGAGACGGGGGTGACGGTGAGAAGAAATAAAGGAATTGAGAAATTTGAAAAAAAAAAAAAAAAAAAAATGAAAAGAATATCTCAGAAACCATGCACTAGCGTAACGATTAAAGATAGTTTCTATACTCGTGTGTTTTTCCTTGTTTTGTTATAAAACCCATTTCGTAATTAAAATAAAATTTTGACCAATACACAGTGACCAGGAACAATCGTTTTGCTTGGATGCTTTGATGAGTGCATTTCACGGTGTCGTTTCCCAGCTACACAGCTGCCAACACTTCCACTTCCCTAGATCCGTGCTGCACCAAAAATGGTGGCCAGTCAGTTTGCCAGCGATCCTGACTTTAGTTTTCGTCTCCTGGAGGAATTTTCAGCTCAGCAATTCCCCTAAAAGAGGCACCTTGGCAAGGCTTCAGCCTTTGATATGTGCAAGACATAGCCACCTCCTTTCGTCTGTTATCGTTCACGGACCGCACGGGGAGGAGGAAAGGGCAGGGGAGGGAAGGCTTCTACAAAGAACAATAAAAATCCAGATTTCTCGTGGAAAACAACACGAATGCACCGATTGCTGGTGTGGGGATCTTAGCTTCAATGCTGAGGACGAAGGATATTTATGTTGCATCATGACTTCTTGCTAGGGTAAGTCGTGTAATAGCGCGAAAATGGCCCATATAAGGCCACCATGTCAGTATTGTAAAGTAGTGTCGATTTTGTGTGGGGTCGCGGAATTGTGAGGGCAAGCCAGTCGACTTCCGAGGGACTGGACCCTGCTGCCACCCCGAATTATCGCCAAGCAGCCGACAACCCAACTCGACAAGCCGGAGCACTGAAGCAGTCGAGGAGTCGCCTAGCCAGCAAACCCAACATTTACACTAGGTACCGATCCTTTATAAACTGTTAAGGATCGGAACCCTCATCCGAAGCAGATATATATAAGGGCTCCAGATCCCCAACTGTATGCTTTCAGAGACGCAAAGCATTCTTCCAGAACAGTATGCAGGCGGTTGTTTCCTTCCTCACGGATGTCACAGGAAACGTGGAAGAGATTTAGTATGCGAGAAACAATTGCTAAAAACATTAAAGGAATTTTATTGAGAAAAATGGTAGCAAGTGAGGAACAATTTTATCTGAGATACAATAATGCATGAAACAAAAAAAAAACTCGTAATTTCAGCAATTCGTTTTAAACTTTCACAAATTTTGAAACTTCTCAACCAGACCGCTCGTAGTTTCCACAAATTTTGAAACCCACCGACTTAACCCAAGAAACACTTCCAGGAATTTGGAATTTTTACTCGCGACAATTTTTCGAAGATTTTGAAACCCATCAACTTGATCTGAATAAATTTTCATAAACGTTGAATTTCATCGTCAACAGAACTCAGATCATATTTTCCATGGACTCACCAGCTCATTACTTCGTTCCTCAAAAAATTTACAAGTTTTCGAGTACCAATTAACACGTTACAAGGTTTTCATGATTCTTCGGATTCATTATTCTGATTCGTTGATGGATTTTCATAAATTCGCGAACGCAA